TCAGTTCTAGAACTTTCTCCATTTATGCAATACATTTTGGCCCATCAATGTTTACAGTTTATCTAAAATTCCGACAATGACAAATCTGGTACATAGACAATGCCGCAGGCTCCGATCTTGCATCGGCGACGGCACCAGTTTGTGACGTCGTCCCCCGGTCGCAGCGCCAACTGTGACGTTCTATCCTGATCTACCACGGCGCCAGTTGTGACGTGGCCGTTCCAGGGTCCTATCCCGGTCACGACACCGTTGTGACGTCCCTAAACAGCACCAATTGTGACGTCTTCGCCGCGGCGCCAGCTGTTCGCTCCTCGCTGCTCCGTCCGGGTGTCGCTGCTCCAAACGTGACGTTCGCCTGTCGCGTCAGTCGTGTTGTCTCGTCCTGTGACGACCAACTGGCTTGGTATCGGTCGCGGCACCAAAATGTGACGTTCTAACCTTTTGGTGATTCGGGTGGGAATCTGGTTAGATTTGATATCAGCCTCGTCGTTCCCAACTCGCTTCCAACGCCTGGTTACCAAGGTAACTGCATTGATCTCCAGTCTGCCTACCCACGTTGTGAATTGATCTTAGACAGACGAGATCAAACAGGGTTGGGGCCGTAATGCAAATTGAGTTCAACGGGGGTGATAACACACAAATATGCATAAAAGAAAATAAAATGAAAACTCAAAAAGTTCAAAGTATCAAAAAAAAAGGTAACAAACTTTTTATGTCTAGTTGTTCGATACATAGGACTGCATCTATCTCCCGACCCGTTCTGTGGATTGTGACACGTCGTTTTTCGCTAGGCAAGTTTTAACGCTTCAAGTTGTTTGCTCTCTAAGAAATTTGTGTTTCGGTGTGTCTTTGGACGAAAGTCGAAAAAAAAACTTATTTCTGTGGTCTGGTTCTAAGTCGCTCTTCAAAATAATTGTTCTTGGTTGAAGAGGAGTCCAAAATTTTGCGTGAATCTTGGTCAGCTATCTTGAGGCGGCTTCAACTCTGGAAACTCATCTCTGCCGTCCGGGACTGAATTAACTGTCTTTGCCCGCCAGGGTCGAACGAATGGGTCCGACTCATCTCTGCCGCCAGGGCTGACGAACTACTGGCCACTCATCTCAGCTGGGACTGGACACTCATCTCTGCTGCCAGGGCGCGAACCTGCCCGCCAACTGGACACTCATCTCTGCCGTCAGGACGAACTTCTCTCTGAACTGATTTCTGCCTGTTGGGGCCTTCGTTTTTATTGACGCCGACAAAAACCGGGTTGGGTCTGTTGGCGTCGGGGGGTTCCTCGATAATTCTAAATACATATCCACCTCTTTTATTTCTGGTTAGGGATTTTCCACTCTTTTCCATTTTTTGGTAACTTTTTTTTCACTCCCACTTTCTCACCATGCTTCTGGGGGCGTGAACTGCCCTCCCCCACTTCTTCGTAGCGGCTTCTCATACTTATACTCTGGATGGGGCGTCGACAGTTTTCTTCGTGCGTCACGTGATCACTCTCGGCCAATGAGGTCTTGGTCGGGTATCTTTCCTCCTCCTTCGTGCGTCATGTGATCACCACTTGACCAATGACGTCTTAGTCGGGCGTGAACAACCCGTGGCTTTGTTTTGGAAAAAAAATATACCTTGCTTAACTAAAAAAAAAAAATTATCTCTTCTCTTTCCTTTTTTTCTTCCTTTCAAATCGCCGTTATCATGAACGGATAATATGACAACTCTTTGTTCAACACGTGGCGTTTGTCAAGCAGTTTATCGCTAATCATCAGATGGCTGGTTTTCCGACATGGCCTCAGAAAAGAATTTTCTCCAAGTTTTCAGTCGGTCTGACGTCTCCAAGGAAGAAATAAAAACATTTCTTATTCCATTCATTTTCCTTCGGTTCATGTGTCTGATAACAAAATTTTATTATCGCAGGGCAAAAGTTTGTTTTGTCGAAAAAAAGTTTAGATAGCGAGACTGCTTGTGTGGGATTTTAATTTTCCATATCTAGCTAAGGCTCCGTAGCTACACCTGTGTTTTGTCAATTATCAAAATCTAACGTTTTCAAGTGGACTTTTTTTGGCGAACATTTCTTGATAACACAATTCCATTCGCGCAGGCCAAGTAGGGAAATCGGTCAATGATTGCTCGCAGGTGGCCTTTAATTTTCATATCTGTCCAAAGTCTTTTTAGTCGCCTGTTTCTTGTCGTCACTTATCGAAATAACATTTTCGCTTGAATTTTTCCCTTGGCCGGTGGTCTGTGTTTTGATAATAAGATGCCTTCCCGTACCAATAGTTTGTTTTCATATCCTTAGATAACATTTCCCTACCCACTCAATCTCATTGTCATTGTAATGACACTCTTTTCGCCATTTGCCACTTATCCAAAATAATTTTTTTTTTTTTTTTTTTATTGCCTCTTAAGCCGTGTGTGTGTGTTCGCTTATCACCTATGATCCGTCTCGCATTATTTTCCCTTCCTTTCTTCTTTTTTTCCTTTTCCTTTTTTTTCTTTTTTGCCTGGATGCATGGTTTAAACAAATAACTTGCCTGAAAGAATGCTTGTTTAAAAGTATAAAACAGTAAAACACTCATTTTCGAATTTAAAATTGGCAAAAGTTTAACAAATGTATTCGCAAAAAATAAAACAAAAAAAACGGTGAATCAAAAGAAGACATTTTTCTAGATATGTATACTCTCTTGACACCAACAAAAAAAAGAAGCTATTTTCAGAATTTTAATAAAACCCAAACAATGAACCTGGACTCAAATTTTTTTTCAAGAATTTAACAAAAAAGAATGAAACATTATTTAATTTATTGTTGTTTATTTACAAGAATAATTTTATATTTATTTTTCATAAAAAAATAATTGCTTCAATGTAAAATGAATCATTTAAAATATTATCAAGAAATAATTATGAAAATAATTTTTATTCAAAAATTTATTTAAAAATTTATAAAAAAATATATTAAACTTTCATTTAAAATATAGAAATATCATTTCACAGAAATATATATATATATTATAAATATATTTATATATATATATATTTGAATATATCTTTTTTGAAAAAATAAATAAATTAATTGAAACAAGTTAAAATTTTTTAAAATTAAACGAATGACGTTTCGGTTTAGACATTTCATTCATTAAATATCATTGAAATTTAATTTTTTGATTTTTTGTTTTTTTCGTCATTTTCTTCATTCTGTCGGATTTATATCCATTTACACTTGCTTTATATATATATATATATAATAACCCCAGAAAATGCATGTTTCTTTAAGTTTATAAATATTTATATATATATATATATATATATATATATATATATATATATATATATATATATATATATATAATTTCCTGGTTATTTCAATCAGAAACTCACATCAAAAGACATTCACTAGAATAAGTTGCAAGAATCTGAATTTATACGTTATTTTCTCCCGAAACTGACAACAACAGAGTTAAATACTATTTATTTATTAGTCTGGTTATTTTCAAGAATAATGTTTTAATTTTTTTTCATCATTTCTGAGAAAACAAATTTTTGAAAAGATAAAAGTTGCCGACGATGCATAAGCGCTTCAAGAGAAAAAATGTCATTTGACATAAAAATTTTTTGAGAGTATGTTTGTTAAACTTTGCCGAATATGCTTTGAAATTTCGGGAAGATTTTTTTGCTATTTTATCACATTGTATTTTCATGATTGTTCTTCACTTTTTATTATTAGAAATGATTAAAATCATTCCACAAAAATATAGGAGTGATATTCTCTTAATTATTAAGAAAATAATTGTTTAAAATTTAGTTTCACGTAATGTTCAGAATTTAATGTCAAAAGATGTTCGCTTGATATTTTCGAAGAAAATAAATTTGTCAATACATTTAATGATTTAAAATGAACAAAGCCTCTATTATCTCCTATTTTTCTATTTTTCAATGGATAAATTATAAATGACACATCAATGAATATTTTTTTACAAATCGCCCCAAGCAAGTCGGGAGTGCCACTAGCAAACAAATGGGTTACAGATAGTTTTTTAAGAGTAAAGAGGAGTATTTGGGAAAGGATAAAGAGAAGGACAGGAATCAAGTTCAAGGCATCAGAAGACGTCGATTGACATTACATTTGAATATTTCAATATTATAGCTATCAAGGAAACAAGTGACAGGAAGGAAGTTCCACTGACGGGAGGTGCGAGATAAGAAGCTGTTGGAGTAGAAGAGATGGCTAAATTTAGTTGTTTCGACAGTGAAAGAGTGGAATTGAGATGCCAACCTAGTAGCGTTTACTTAAATTCATACAGTTGGGACACCAGTGAATTTTAGCTTATCGGAGCAGTTGCCATGAAAGTACTTATAGCAAAGACAGATGGAAGTTACAGCACGTCTATGAGATAGCGACTGCAGACGGAATGCATAATATTGCAGGAAATTTTTATTATAGAATCAATAAATACACTGTAAGAATCAGATATTGTTCAAAATTTTCCATGAATAAAAGCTTCTTTAATGATTCTATTAAATAACATGTTAGATGACATAACATTTTCAATGTTCGTTGAAATAATACATCGAAAAAAGTTTTATGATTTTACAGGATTTCAAATCTTAATGAAATTCAAAACCAATATTTTACTTATTATGGAAATTGTTCACGATAGACAAAACACCAATTTAGCAGATTATCTGACGAGATTTCTTGCAAATTTTGCTTATAACAAATTGTTTTTATTCCTTCATGCTTGAGTTTATGTGTGTTTTGAAGACGCAGATACATATATGGACGTGATTACAGACTTATGTGTTTGGTTAACGAAAGTTTTCAGTTTTTAAAATTGATGTAGTGTAATTGGAAATTATCCATCGCCCGGAAACCTGGGGGCGTTTGTAGTACCAAAAACCACTTATTAACGACAAGAAAAAAAATAACGTCCAGATATTGAAGAAATCAAAATAAACCATACACAATTTTTTCGCCGGAATTAACAACATGTTTACTATGGTAGTGAGGACGAAATATGCTTAATCGACTTGTTCTTTCTTTCTTTCTATCTACGTCTGTTTATATATATTTATTATTATCTATCTATCTATTAGCTAGTTTATATGTATTTATTTTTATCTTTCTATCTATCTATCTAGCTAGCTATGTACGTCTGTTTATATATATATTTATTTATTTTATCCATCTATTTACCTACTTACGTCTGTGTATATTTATTTCTTCTATCTATCTATCTATCTATCTATCTATCTATCTATCTATCTATCTATCTATCTATGTGGGTAGCAATAAAGAAAATCAGGAAGCGAAATTTATGACATATATACATTTCCCAATATCGAATATTTCAACGTTTCGTTTCAAAACTCTGCCCAAAGAGCAAATATATGAAACCGTTTATGGAGAAGCAGTAGCCGATAATATTGTCCTAGGTGGTTCGATTGCTTCAGTGGTGGAAATTCTGATCTGAAATACCGAAGATGTTGCGGTGGGTCTTGATGATCATCTCGAATCACTGATTTAAAATAATTCAGTTTCCTGACACGGAACAATACAGAAACGCATTAATCTCTCGTATTCTCATCTGCAGACGTTAATCTCACGTATTCTCGTTCCTCTTACTGTTTACACAATCATATAGTCGCTATCCATTAACTATGCTAATTAGGCATTATTTATGCTAATTAGGCAGTAATTTACATATCATTGCAAAGTCTCTGTACAGATATCTAAATATTGTTTTGAAATTCACTTGAAAATGCCCTTTGAATGTTTATTTCCACCCCATATAAAGTTGCAGACATTTCCCCACATTTCACCTCAACATGTAGAGTAAGAATTCTTCTCAGAAGCCTCAGGTCTCTCAAAGGAAAATAATGATGGAGTCGGACTATTTCTGGAATTAAACGCACTAAGACGAGAGGATCTTTGCATGAAAGATGAAATTCTTTTCATTCTATCCCTTCAAGTATAAATAATCACATTTTGAATGACAGATTTTAAGACAATCATGAAACATTTCAGTATTGACCATAATAGTTTTATATTTCGAATAAGATTAGCTTATATTTATGACCAATTAATGAGAAAAGTCGAAATTGGAAAATTCTAAGGAAACCATCTTAGAAGCAATTCAATATATTATGATCATTAAGTTATTCCTGAACCAGAGAAACATGGCAAGGATACCATATAAAATATTGTGGCAGAAAGCTCGATTATATAATATCATTCTCTATATTAATTAAGCTTCAGTAGAGTTGTAATTATAATGAGAATGAAGGGCGTATTACATCTGCTGTAATGGCTAACGAGCTAGTTACTCAGACTATTATTTTTTTAGTAAATTAGATATTCATTGAGAAATCTACACTAAGGCTAGACGACTGATTGAATTTTCTCACCATGATGCATTATTTAGCGAAATACATTAACAGATGTATATAGTGAATTTCGGCATTATCATTTGTCATTTTTGTACTTAGGGTATTATACCACACGGAGACTTTAATTCACACAAAATATATATATATATATATATATATATATATATATATATATATATATATATATGAGTCATTGTGGCACGATCTATACCTGCTAGAGATATTTCATCTACATTCCCTTCGCTTCATTATAGGAGTGGATTGGAAATATTCCATTATTGATATTGAGGTTTTTAAATTGATCTTGGCTATATGTGTTGAAGTTCTGATCCCAAAGTCCAAGATGAGATAACCAAATGTCCACATTGAATACTGATCTTCCGAGGATTTCCTGTTCAAGGAACAAGGCTCTAACTGACGAAGAAATGTTGATCAATTAGAATATCACTATGGATTCAAGTGAGTTCCGTTGGAAATAGAAGGATCTAACAAGTCATGATCGTGATGTCAGGCAATATTTCTCTCAGAAACAAATCCAGAACGGAAGGTTGCCGGTCAAGGTTAGATCCTGGGTTAGTTCCAAAACCTTCGACTGAAACTGAAAACCTTCTACTGAAACCCTATATTATCCAGTTTTTATTGTTTTATACTACTTTTGTTGTTTTTTTCAGGTCCCGGTTTCGTATTTTACTTCTATGTGCCGTGTCCCTTCGAGATGCAGGTGTTTACGGCTCCCCACAACTTCCTATCCTTTGTAGCTCTTAGTAAGGTTTGTCTTTTCAAAATCCTTGTTCTAGCATCCATAACAGTTTACTTACATTTTTTTCCTTTGTCTTTCTTGCTTTCAGCATGTTATGTAAGTGTCAAATTCTCCAAGATTTTCTTTCCACATTATGTATACTGAAAGAAAGACCTCAACACACACCAATATATATATATATATATATATATATATTATATATATATATATATATATATATATAATCTATTCCCAGAAAAAACACAAATGACTAAATTAACGGTCAGAACATTTATGAAAATACAGACAGGAAAACAAATTTTACTATGTTACTTAAAAATAGAAAACAAAAACAAAATACATTGTGTTATGGTCCGGTTCCATGTACCACGGTGATAGTCGAAGGTAGAACCAATAAAGAAGAACTCGAATACGGATATGGAATAACACAGATATATTACAAACAGGAATATATACAGAGAAGTAGAAAGTGTTAGTACGAACAATCTGGTTTAGTAGTAATTGTCTGAACGCGACTCTGTTTCGGACTGCCTCTGACTCGACTGACTGACTGGCTCGCTCTGACTGACTGACAGACTGCTGATGGACTTCACTCCAGACTTCAACTGAACTCCAGACTTCAGATGGAACTCTCTGCTTCCTCTTGAGGCGCACTATTTATTACGTAACACCCCCTCCCCTTCCGAAAATTTTGCGTAGCAGGGGTTTTTTAATATCTTTTTTTTCTTTGGATCTATTTCCAAAGTTTCAGTAAATTTTCTTTTTCTAGACGATTTTCTTGTTTCTGGCATTATTTTCGGTCTTCTTATATCGAATGTGTCGAAAATCGTGTCCAATATCTTTTCTTGAGGTGGACCGTTAGCATCCTGTAACGGTCTCTTCCTTATTTGGTTTACGTGTCTTCTGTGTGAGAATTTTTTTCCTTGAACTATGTACATCATATTGCCAATTCCTTTCTCAATTATCCCTTGTTCACAGCAAGAGGTATTATTTTTATATGCCTTAAAACAAACTTTTTCCCCTTGGAGGAATTTTCTTTTTGGTGTGTAGGACTTTGTTACTTGTTTTGTTTTACTTGGTAGTAATTTATCGAACGCTGGTCTGATTTTCCTAGCAAACATGATATCTGCCGGTGATAATGTTGATGGTGTCGCATTATTTGGCGTTATTCTATATACCTGTAGGAATTGCTATAATGCTTTCACCGTAGGCACATCGTACGCTGTCGTAATGCTCTTTTGAGAGTATCCACGAATGTCTCCGCTTGTCCATTTGATCTTGGATTGTAAGGCGGGGATTTTATATGTTTTACTTGATAGATTTCGCAAAACTCTTGGAAATCTCCTGACGTGTATTGCGTTCCGTTATCTGTTACTAAACAGTCCACTACGCCAAATCGAGCAAATAGCTCGTGGAGGAAATTTATGGTCGTTTCTGTAATAGGATTTTTGCACCGAAACACCTCTGGCCATTTACTGTAGCTATCAACTATGACTAAATAGTAGAACCCGTCAATTGGTCCTGCATAATCTGCGTGTATTCTTGACCATGGACGATCAGTTTCAGGCCAAGGCTTATGTATGATTGGCGGTGCTTTTAGCTGCTAAATTACAACCCTTGCACATTTCCACCATTTGAGAAATATCCTGGTCCACATTCTTCCAATATACATAGCTTCGCATTAGCGACTTCATTCTATTTTTACCCGGGTGTCCTCTGTGGAAATCCTTTAGTATCCGTTTTTGTAAAGTTTTTGGGGATTACAACCCTTTCGTTGTAAAGTAGCACATTATCGCATAGAGAAAAGCTGTCCGAAATTTTTCATTTTTTTTCTGCTATTTTTGCTTTTGCTTCATTAATAAATTCGTCAAAACAAATTTCATTTTTATGTCTTGCAATGTGACTGGGAGGTTTCTGACTGTACAAACATAGTACTGTTCTTATGTCTTCTTCATTTCTAAGGGCTGCGATTACCGTATCTTTCAATGGCTCTGTCTTTGTTGGTATAAATCTCGACAGACCATCCGCGTGCCCGATTCTTTTCGTTGGTAAATATTCCAATCTGAAATTATAGTTCAGAAGAATCGTTCCCCATCTAAGTAACCTATTTGCAGTGTAAACCGGTAGACCTTTTTTCGAACCAACAATTTTTATTAACGGTTTCTGATCCGTCTGCAGAGTAAAATGTCTACATATCTATGGAATCTTGTTACTGCGAAGATAATTGCTAGAGCTTCCTTCTCAATTTGTGAATAGTTTTTCTCCGCTGGTAGTAGGGTTCGAGAAGCATGTGCGATAGGTTTTATTGTCCCATCTGGCATTTTATGTAATATACACACTACGACACCGTAGGCTTTCGCAAATTTTTACAATATTCTCTGGTTTAGGATCATAGTGTAAAAAAATAAATCCGATGTTAATGTCTTGATTATTTTTTCAAATGTTTCCTGGCATCGATCTGTCCACTGCCAAACTTTTTCTTTCTTTAGCAATTCGTTCAATGGTGCGCGAAGTTTATGCATCTGAGGTATGAATACCTGGTAGTAATTCACTAATCCAAAAAAACTTTGTAGTTCTGTTATGTTCTTAGGAACTGGCATCTTTTTTATTGCTGTAGACCTTTCAGGGTCTGGACGTCTACCTTCTTGGTCTATTATATGGCCAAGATATTTCCTTCATGAAAAAATCCCACTTATTTTCTTTCACTTTGAATCCGTAGCTTTGAATTCTCTTAAACACTTCTTGTACATGTTGCCAGTGTTGTTCAACGCTTTCGCTATTAATCAATATGTCATCCAGATATGCTATTGTGTATTCTAGTCCTGCCAGCATCGTATCCATTGTCTGCTGGAAAATAGCCGGTGCTACTTTAATTCCAAATGGTAGTCTTTGGTATCTGTACAATCCCTTGTGTGTGTTTATGCATAGTAGTTTTGAACTTTCTTCATCGACTGGAATTTGCATGTAGATCAATTTTTGAAAAATATTTTCCGCCATTTAATTTAGTGAATACTTCTTCAGGACTAGGTAGCGGATAGTGGTAGTCCTTTATTGCTGCGTTCAAACCTGTAGAAAAATCAGCACAAACTCGAATTTCTCCTGATTTCTTCTTAACGTAGACCGTCGGTGCGGCCCATTTGCTGTATTCTACTTTTTTCAATATGCCCGTATTTTCGAGTCTAGATTATTCTTGGTCAAACTTTTCTATTGACGCAAACAGTACACTCTTTTTTTCATAAAAATAGGTTGAACGTTATCCTTTATTTTGATATTAGCTGCCATTTTCTTGCATCTTCCGAGACCTGCCGAAAATACTTCGGGGAAACTCGTTTTTAGTTTTCCTTTTAATTTGTCTGCCTCGGTTGATAAGCTTTTTACATTCTGGCAGTAGGTGCTAATAGGTAGATCCCACAATTCGAATTTTTGCATCCAGTTTGTCCCGAATAGGATTTCGGTATTTCTTAAGACATACACTTAGTTTTTTCGTCATTCCATTAAATGTTACGTTTGTGATTATTTCACCCTCGAATTTTATCTTTCTCCCCGTAACTGATCTCGCAGTTTTATCCGTTTTTAACATGACAGGTTTGTTCAGTTTTCTCCATGTTTGTAGATTTATGATAGTTAAGTCTGAGCCAGAATCCAACTGTAACCTAACTTTTCTGTTTTGCATTTCAACTTGTACATATTTTCTTATATTAGTCTCATCTGTTTGGTCGGTCCTCGTAATTCTTATTCTGCTTTCTTTTCTATACCAACAGCGAGAGCTTTTGTGACTAATTTTTTACATGATAGACAAGTTTTATCACGATATGTACAGTCTTTAACCCAATGCCAAGATCCACAACGATAGCATGGACTTGGTGGTAGTTTCTTTTTATGTTGATTATAATTAGAAAATTTTGTTTTACCTGTTCCTGACGCGAGAAAATCAGTTCGGTTTGTTTGTGAGGAGGGAAAAATTGTTTGCTTTCTTTGTGAGGAGGGAAAATTTGTTTGTCTTCGTACTTGGCGGATGTATGCTATGCCAGCTTGTTCTATGTTTTTAGAGTCTTTTTTTACGCTGACGCATCTCTGGCAGTCTTCGGCTAGTTTTTGAAGTGTCATATCTTGTTCATTTTCCAATTTAGTAAGTATTCTACGTCTCATTTCTGCGTCTTTGGTTGAAACCATACCTTGGACGTAAATTAAGCATTTGAAGTTGTCAGCGCTGAGTTCTGATAATTTGAAGTCGTCAAAATATTTATTAACAATGGATGTGAAAGTTACGTAATCTTCGCTATCCTTTTTTGTAAGGTTCATGCATTTCCATCTTTTATGAAATAGTGAAGTATTATGGCTGAAAAGTACCGTTAGCAATTTCATAGATTCTTTGAACGTTAATTCGCTTGTTTTTCTGGGAAGGACATAATCAACGAATTTGGTATATTCGCCTGTGCCTAATTGTCTTAATAAAAGGCGTACTTTACGTGCGTCTGACCAATCTTTGCAGTCAAAATCATATAGATCTTCATACCTTCGGAAGTAATTTGCAAAAGTTTTATCTTCGTCGGGTGCGTACTTGAAATCTTCGATATTACTCCAAATAGCGTCTTGAGAGAGAACTGATTCGTTCTCAGGTTTTTGCTTCCTATTTGCCATTGCACGTATCAATAATTCTTGCATTTCTAGATGTTTTTGTTCGTACCTTTGTTGTTGTTCAAACATTTCCAGATGTTTTTGTTCGGACCTTTGTTGTTGTTCAAACTGGATTTTGATAAGTTCCATAATGGTTGACTTAAAATCTTCCATGTTAACGTATTTTTTGTGTAAACTGATATTCTGTAGCCTGTGCTCGCAAAAAAAACTTGCCTTTGTTGTCAGCGAAATTTCATATCAAGAAAAGAAAAGTTTTCTTTTTTTTACTTTAGAATTTAATCGTTTTCCACTGTTACGTACGACGGATAGCAAAAAAAAAAAAAAAATATGTCCGAGTAGTGAGTTTATTTTTCTTTAAGGGTTTTCCAGATTGCCACTTGTTATGTGTGACGTATAGCAAAAAATAAGTCCTACGTGTATAGAGTTCGTATTTCCTTTTTAAGGGTTTCTTCGTCGTCACTTGTTATTTTGACGAGAGATGATTTTGTTATTTCTTCTTCACGTGTGAGTTCGAATCTTCGTCGCCACTTGTTATGCGGTGGCGAAACAAAATTTTTTTTTCTCTTCCACCCAATGAGTTCGAATCGCTCGTCGCCATTGTTATGGTCCGGTTCCTTGTACCACGGTGATGGTCCAAGGTAGAACCAATAAAGAAGAACTCGAATGCGGATATGGAATAACACAGATACATTACAAACAGGAATATATACAGAGAAGTAGAAAGTGTTAGTACGAACAATCAGGTTTAGTAGTAATTGTCTGAATGCGACTCTGTTTAGGACTGCCTCTGACTCGACTGACTGACTCGCTCGCTCTGACTGACAGACTCCTGACGGACTTCACTCTAGACTTCAGACGGAACTCCAGACTTCAGACGGAACTCAGACTTCAGACAGAACTTAAACTTCAGACGAAACGATATTCAGTCACCCTCCCACGAGGGCGTCATGTGGCACAAGGCCTTTTTGACGTGGGATCTCCGAGCCCGTGGGCTCGGCTAAAAATATGCCTATTGAACCCGTATAAACGGGTTCAGGGTCGGTTTACCTCCCCGAAAGAGACTCCGCCCTTCGGCGTAGCCTCGTTCGGGTTCCTCCCCGCCCGAAGGCAGAGAGTTCAACCAATCAGCCGATCAGCCGGTCGACCCACTTCGGACTGAACTCCCTGCTTCCTCTTGAGGCGCAGTATTTATTACGTATGGAATAGTCCAATATGTTATTATGGGAAAGGTCCCGTAACACATTGTAAAATATCATTATGATAAATGCAATATATACATTATATCTAACGCAGATAATACAACATACTTCAAACAATTCTTTAAATTAAACATATAAAATAACACCCACCCCCTCCGAGAAAAAATAAACAAAAATCTGAATAAATAAACAAATTATGTAAATAATAAACTAATAAACAAACTACGATTGCACAACTAAATACAAATGTAATGATAATAATCATCAACAAATAATTAAGTAATCAATAATAAGGAAAATGTTAAGCACACTATAAAATAGTTACATATTACCGCGTTCGATTCTATAATTATTTCTACTGAAAAGATTCTAGAACAATGTGAAACATACCGTTACTTCATACCCATTACGTTAATACAATCGGCCATATTTGCCTATAATGCACGACTGGTCGGCATCAATAGTCCAGTCAAAGCACAACACGCATGGCCGACTGTCATCGACTGGTGTCCACTTATACGTTCTATCCCTACGAACCGCCCTTCAGAAGACTTTTGGACCTTCGGATTTTTACCTTCAAAGTCCTATGTACGTAAAAAGTTATAAGAATTAAGAAACAATAAAATTATTTTATCTTTATTCGACACCTTAATTCGGCATAAACTTTGTTTATGTACACAACCGTTCTTTTTTGTTTACATTTATTTTGCGAGCAATTATTATTTTGTCTTAAAATCACCATTCCTTATGATCCCGTCACATAAAGTAACTCTTAAAAGACATTAAGGAACAAGAACTATGTAATATTTCAAATACGTCACAGATCGACAAACGGACGTACACACGTACACTGCGATTTATTTTTATAGATATAGCGTAACATAAAACTACATACATATATATATATATATATATATATATATATATATATATATATATATATAACAGATACGCCATTTTATTAATCAAAGCTTTTTTTTATAGACAAACAGCACTTGAGATATCTTTCGGCCAACACTTATTCATAGGTAACGCGTTGGTACATTATTTATTAGTATAAAGAGGACACAAATATTGAAATATTTACTAAAATGGAAGAAAAGTCCGAGTTCGTTTAAAATTAAATTTATTGAAAAATATAATTAAAAATGTAAAATATATATATATATATATATATATTATATATATATATATATATATATATATATATATGAACGCAGTCGCCATGACTTGACTATTGAGTTTAGGATTAAACAGACATTTGGGCTTTGGCTGTTCACTTCAATGTACACTATTATATTTCCATTACCTGTATCCTTGATTTTGACCATTTTAACCCATAAATATAGTATACCTTAAAGCTACATTTTATCATATTGTAAGCACATTAAGTCTCTTTTTGATATTGAATAGTTCTGAGGACATTTATTTTCTCATGTCGAATTTTGGCACAATACGTTTTTTTTTTCACAAACATAGCGAGGAACCTTGAAGAAACAAGGACAGAAAAAAAGGCTTTCATGTAACAAAATTTCTTCTTATCTGAACTATGAGGCTTAGACGTGTTTGTTATTTTTACTTTTTCCTTTTTTTTTTGAATTTTGTTATTGAAATGTAGTTATTAAATTATCTTACGTTGCTTCATTCTTTTATTATTTACTATTTTTCTGTCTTTCACTTTTGATTTTACTTTTTCTCTCTTACTCTTTCTGTTTTCACTTTTCTTTTCTTCTTCTTGTTCTTTTCTTTCCTTTTACTTCACCGTTCGCTTTTCTTTTATCTCTCTTCTTAATTCTCTATTTCTTCTCTTCGATTTTCTCTGTTTCCCATGCTCACTTCTACTTATATCTTTACATCTCTCTTCTATTTTCCCCTCTTTCCTTTCCTTTCTTCCTTTCCTCCGTTTTCTCTCTCTCTCTCCTTCCCTCTCTCTCTCTATTGTTACTCTTCTCTTCCTTATTTTCTTCTTTCTTTCTTTCTTGTTTCCGCTTCATCTCATTTCAAATTTTCTTTATTCTCTTCTCCCCTCCACTTTCTCTCTACCCCTTTCCTTCTTTCGCCCTTTTCATTCTCTTCTTTTTAATTTCTTTTATTTCACATCTTCGCAATCCCATTTTTTCTTTCCTGGAATTAACAGTTTTTTTTTCTTGTTCTCATACAGTTTTTGCATTTCTTCATTCACTCACCTGTTCTATATTCTTCGATTTCTCTTTTCGCTCATTTTTGCTTTCTCTTGTAATTGCAATGATGTTAGCTATTTTCCAGTTCGGTTCAGGAAATTATCTTAAACGAAAAGTTCGTCACGAAATAAAACATCCAAATAAATAAAGATAAAAATGATATTACCCGAAAGCTAAAATCTTGTTAACTATGTCACTGTCCCCAAATCGCAAAATGTCAGCGTTCTCAAATCGGGAAATTATTTTTTTAGAAGAGAATTCAATAATAATAATAATAATAATAGAAACCAAAAACGCAGCGATAATTATTTAGATTATTTAGACAGCAGAAATTTAATTAAAAGGATCGACACGAAGACAGAGTTATTTGCCAGGACACTTTCTAGACGAGACAAGAGTGGGTCTTGATCAACGTAGCATTATATTTTTTATATACCGTACTTATGAACACTAATGTGTATGTCCCAATCCACATAAATACGTTGGGCACTATTGTTTTTGAGTGTAATATGCTGTCTAAGTAGTAATTACTAGCAGTGGTTTTTACTTCACGCTTTAATTCGAGTATTGTATTTTGTTGATGTTATAAAGATTACCATTTTATTTCCAACCTGATATTTTTTTTATTCTCATTCACTGACCCTTCCTAGGTTATTTTTTTATTCAAAGCACGAGGCTGTAAATCTTGTTTTGATACCAAGAAATTTGATGGGTTTAAATAGACAAAGACGGAGGAAGAGTATTACAAAGATCCTATAAAAGATCTGATAAAACGAGCACACACACACACAGACACACACACAGACACACACGCACGCACACACGAGCGCGGGCGCGGACACACGCACATACAGAGGAATACACGAAGAAGAAATGGGAAAATCAAACGACGAACTTACAAAAATGAGAGAGACTATAAATGACCAAGTGTTATAAGTGTGGTTACGCAGAGGTAATCTAAAAGGGTAAACGTGATCAAATCTCATTCTAGACCAGAAAAAATGCATACGAACCAATATCATTGTTGTGAAGAAAGAAATACAATGTTGAACTATTCTAAAAATGAATGCATTCACTTCACTAAAAAGGAAGAACAAGCACCACTTATTAGGATTTGATAATACTGAGATGGATTACATAATACTTAAATGGATTATATAATACTTAAATGAATTACATAATACTTAAATGGATTTCATAATACTGAAATGGATTACATATTACTGTAATGGATGACATAATACTTAAATGGATTACATAATACTGATATGGATTATATAATACTTAAATGGATTTCACAATACTGAAATGGATTACATAATACTTAAATGGATTTCATAATACTAAAATAGATTTCGATTCGATAATATAAACGGTGTTCTGGTTGAAAATGAGAGACATCTCAAGTATAAAGCACTGTATGACTTTAAAGTCCAAACCGATCGCCTAATTCAATATTAAAAGTTGTAACCAAATACTTTCAATGTTCGTTGGTCGTTTTCAGTTAAAGAAGATGGAAATTCCAGAAAGAGCCAATAGGAGGCTTGAATTGTCAGTTTAAAATTTGAAAAGAATATGAGTACATGTTTTAAGACTATGAAATAGAATTTAACATCACTTGGGTAATAAAACCAAAATTCGAACCACAAATTAGGCCACAAAAATCTCCTGAGCCGACCAGGCATAGAAATGAATAGAATATGGAAACCAGTAATAATGAAGTTCCAGAGAAAAGTGATAATAAAAACTAAAATTCCAATATGAGCTCTGGTAAAAAATGATTGTTGAAGACATTAGGTTTATAATACCCAGAAATTCGTACACAGATGTCTTCAAGGATACATAGCATAGTGGATAAAGGCGTTAGTTGGATCCAAGTGGAGTGTGAGTTCAATACCTGGTTAAGGCGGTGGAGATAACTGATAACTGACATCCATGGCACGTGAAACTAGAACAGTCTAGCCAATCTAACGAAATAAAGAGTTCAGTTCGACATTCCAACCAACTGAAGAAGGCCGGAAACGTTGTGATAAATATGGCAACAAAGACAATAGTCCGAATAATGTAAATAGTGTGCATAATACCTCATCTCAGAAATATAAACAGATACTTCTCATTGATCTATCGCTACTTCCATACATTCCAGTTCTAACGTCTAAGATCCGCAACACCATTCATATTATAAAAAAAACACAATCATTTCATGAGAAGTAAGTTCCACTCCCGCAAAACACTTCTCTGTGGAACCGTTTCTCAATATTCTTCCCCGGTCATTGTAATCCTGTTTAAGTCTAAGGTTAACTGTTATCTTTCCCATGAGTGACCCCTAGGCCTTGTACAGGATGGACCTTACTGTAATAAAGTACAAAAATAGACGCGACTGGTTCGGAAGTTTACTCTTGCGGAATTGAGCGAAATAATAGGTTTTGGCAATGTAAAAGAATAATAGATTCATAATAAAAGATATTCTAAAGAATCAATAAATTCCATTTATTTGAACGCAAATAAATCACTCACTCCAGGCTAGGAGAAAAATATCCTAATGTTTAAACAAAGAGGAAACAAATTGTCAGCTAGAAACTTTAGTAGAAAATTAGAGTAAAATTGGTAGATATGATACAAAGTGGACGTTGCAAAAGAACTGACAATATTGCGTAACATGAACGTGACATTGTCCTTAAGTTTCTAGGATAGGGAGTTATTATTACTTTCATTCGGAACATTGTCTTAATCTTCGTTGTTATCATCACAGCTTTTCGGTCGTTGTCTCTTATCGGGCTTCTAAGGATGTTTATTGATCTGGGTAACCTTATATTGGAGGCTTTAAAGAAGAAAGAAAAATACGAAAAGCTATAGTAAAGAATGAAAGAGTAAATGACAGTACGGCTTCAAATGCAACAAAATCTACAGTAGAAAAGAGTGATCGCGTTGAGTGCAGCTAAGCGTAACGATCAGTAGCAACATTGATTAGACGGTAAGTTTAAACTCCAATTTCTCTACTCAAGTTTGTCCCAGCTAAGAATAACCGAAAGCGTTTTTTTTCAAATTCTGTGACAAAGTAATTGTGTGTTCAGTCCCTCTTCCAGGCAGTAGCCATTGTCTAGTCAGCGGAAAAGTGTCGAGCAATAACTGAGCAGCACTAAATAAGAATTAGACGAGATATATTTGTTAGAATGCGAACACTCCCGTAGATTAAATAAATTGTTCAGTTCGAAATTCACTGAAGTTTAACTGAATAGACAAGCACCTCATGAAGGTCGGAGAGTACGACTGCTGAAACGCTGTGCTAATAACAATGATGCAGACAAATGAAGGCGGCTAGTATCAGCGGTCATGCTATAGTTCTGAAGAGATGTGCATATGTGACGTCGTCCCCGGTCGCAGCGCCGACTGTGACGTTCTATCCTGATCTACCACGGCGCCAGTTGTGACGTCCCCAAACAGGACCAATTGTGACGTCCTCGCCGCGGCGCCAGATATTCGCTCCTCGCTGCTCCGTTCGGGTGTCGCTGCTCCAAACGTGACGTTCGCCTGTCGCGTCAGTCGTGTTGTCTCGTACTGTGACGACCAACTGGCTTCGTATCGGTCGCGGCACCCAAATGTGACGTTCTAACCTTTTGGTGATTCGGGTGGGAATCTGGTTAGATTTGATATCAGCCTCGTCGTTCCCAACTCGCTTCCAACGCCTGGTTACCAAGGTAACTGCATTGATCTCCAGTCTGCCTTCCCACGTTGTGAATTGATCTTAGACAGACGAGATCAAACAGTGGTTGGGGCCGTAATGCAAACTGAGTTCAACGGGGGGTGATACTACACAAATATGCATAAAAGAAAATAAAATGAAAACTCAAAAAGTTCAAAGTATCAAAGAAAAAGGTAACAAACTTTATGTCTAGTTGTTCGATACATAGGACTGCATCTATCTCCCGACCCGTTCTGTGGATTGTGACACGTCGTTTTCCGTTAGGCAAGTTTTAACGCTTCAAGTTGTTTGCTCTCTAAGAAATTGGTGTTTCGGTGTGTCTTTGGACGAAAGTCGGAAAAAAACTTATTTCGGTGGTCTGGTTCTAAGTCGCTCTTCAAAATAATTGTTCTTGGGTTGAAGAGGAGTCCGGAATTTTGCGTGAATCTTGGTCAGCTGATCTGCGAGGCGGTTTCAACTGGAGACTGACTCTGGGAACTCAACTCTGGAACTCGAGCCCGAACTGGAACTCTGATTTCTGCCTGTTGGGGCTTCGCTTTTATTGACGCCGACCAAAACCGGGGTGGGTCTGTCGGCGTCGGGGGGTTCCTCGATAATTCTAAATACATATCCACCTCTTTTATTTCTGGTTAGGGATTTTCCACTCTTTTCCATTTTTGGGAACCTTTCTCACTCCCACTTTCTCACCATACTTCAGAGGGCGTGAACTGCCCTCCCCACTTCTTCGTAGCAGCTTCTCATACTTATACTCTGGATGAGGCGTCGACAGCCTTCTTCGTGCGTCACGTGATCACCACTCGGCCAATGAGGTCTTAGTCGGGTATCTTTCCTCCTCCTTCGTGCGTCACGTGATCACCACTTGACCAATGATGTTTTAGTTCGGGCGTGAACAACCCGCGGCTTTGTTTCAGGAAAAAAAAAATATCTTGCTTAAAAAAAAAATTATCTCTTCTTTTCCCTTTTCTTCCCTCTTTAATCGCCGTTATCATTTTCTCTAGCCGCAAACGGACAATATGACAACTCTTGTTCTACACGTGGTTTTTGTCAGGTATTTTATCGCTAATTATCAAAATGGGTGGTCTTCTTAACACGGCCTCAAAAAAGAAATATCTCTAAAGTTTTCAGTCAGTCTGTCGCCTCCAAGGAAAAAAAAAACATTTCTGGGTCCCCATTCATTTTCCTTCGGTACATATTTCTGATAACATAATTTTATTATCGCAGGCCAAAGTTGTTTCGTCGAAAAAATTCGGTCAGCGGACACGGCTTGTGTGGTTTTTAATTTTTCATATCTACCCAAAGTCCTGTAGTTACACCTGTGTTTTTTGTCAATTATCAAAATTAACGTTTTCAATTGAATTTTTGCCTGGCCAGCCGTTTTGTTTACGTACTCCTAGATAACACAGCCTTTATCAAAACACATCTGTTTCCTTCTTTCTTTTCTTTCC